ACCAGCTGTTCCTCAGGGTCACTATGAGTCCGAACACCAACAGCACTTCGCAACAACAACATGCAGACAGGAAGTCTACACATTCCAACCTCTTCTCTATTTTTGTTGTTGTTGTTAAGTGCCCTTGAGTCAGTTACAACCCTGTATAGAGTTTCTGAAGAGTAGCTAGTGGGTTTGAACTGTCAACCTTGCAGTTCAAACTGACCTTGTGATCCAGCACATTATCTTGCATCTCCTTTTTTTACTCAGGATTTGATTCAAAACTTGTGATATCCTTTCAGTTCAAGGACCCAGTTTGCTTGTCTTACAGTTAACTCCTATCCATGCTAAGTGGTAGTATTGCTTTCCTTTTCTTTTTTAAATTTATTCTTTGTTTTCTCAACTGGATCAGGAGCTCCTTAAGGGCAGAGGCCACCTCTTGTACTCTTCAATGCATGCAAAGTTGTGTTTGTTATGGTAAACTTGCAGGAAATAGTTGTTGAATGGATGGGTAAATGGAAGAATGATGATAACTGAACAGCCGTGGTAGGTGAGTTTTTAGGCAGCTCTGTAAAAGAATCACAAAACTCAGGCCAGATGATTGGAGGTAGAGGGAAGAATGTTGCATTTTGAGTCAGCAGACTGGGGTGTCCTGGTCCCAGATCTGCTTAGTCACCTTCTACTTATCCAAGGACATTTCTTATTCTTTTCCTGCTGTGCCAGACAGGCATCTTGCCAGGTCCTAAATAAGACAAGGGTCCTGACGTAGTGCTGTAGGATAAGCACTGGACTATTAACTGCAAGGTTGGCAGTTCAAACCCACAGTCACTCTTCGGAAACCTTTTTCAGAGTCGCTATAAGTAGGAACTCACTTGACGGAACACAACAACAGCAACAAGTAAGACAAAATCCCTGCTCTCAGGGTGTGATGGTGGTGGGAGAGACATATGGAAATCAGTGTCTAGAGGATATATGATAGAAGCTATATATCTTAATGGTAAGTACAGGGCACAGGGATGAAAGTAGAAGCGTTTCTAAATTAGACTCTGGTTTCTGGGAAATGTACTGAAGGAAGAGCATTTTGATTCACTCTCAAAGGATGAGTGGGTAATGGCTAGAAGAGATAGACTAGGAAAAGCATTATAAGAATATAGATCAGCATGTGAGGATATTGTGAACCATAAAATAGGATGTTGCATTCTTTTGAGAACTAAAGTCTCAGTGGAAATAGTGACTATGGCAAGAGATGAACTTAGAAAGGTAGGCAACAGCTACTTTGCAAAGGACCCTGTGGAAATATGATTTAGTGGTAGAACTGAGTTTTAGAAATCAGACAAAGCTGGGTTCTAATTCCAGCTCTGGTACTTTACCAGCCACATGACAGTAACTGATTTTCTTTTTTTTAACCCCTTTAAGCTATAATTTTTGGAGTCCCGGTATGGTGCTGTAAGATAAAGCACTGGACTGCAAGGATGGTTTGAACCACAAGGTTAGTGGTTCAAACTCAACCAGCTGCTCCTTGGAAACCCTATACAGGGTCGCTATAAGTCAGAACCAACTCAAGGGCACTTAACAACAACATCAATTAGCTGTCATTTGGAGTCCTAGTGTGGCACAGTTTAATAAGCACTGGACCACAAGGATGGTTTGAACCACAAGGTCCATGGTTCAAACCCACCAGCAGCTCTTTGGAAACCCTATACAAGGTTACTGTGAGTCGGACCAGCTAGATGGCACTTAACAACTACAAAGCTGTCATTGGGAAGCACAGTAGCTCTGTAGGATAAGCACTGGACTGCAAACCACAGGTTGGTGGTTGGAACTCACCAACCACTTTGTGGGAGAAAATTGAGGTTTTCTACTTCCACAAAACTTATAGCCTCAGAAACCCCATACAGGGCCACTCTGAGTCAGAACCGAATTGATGCCAGCACTGAACTGCTAACCACAAGGTCGGCAGTTCACCCCACCAGTTACTCTTGGGTCAGAACTGACCCATAGCACTTAACAACAGACAATTGTCTATCACTGATATTTTTATTAATTAAAAAAGATCTTCAGGGACAGATTCCAAATTTGTTGTTGTTGTTAAGTACCGTGGAGTCGGTTCCGACTCATAGTGACCCTGCACAGGGTTTCTGAGTCTGTAAATCTTTACAGGAGCAGAACACCTCATCTTTCTCCCGCAGAACAGCTGACCTTGAGGCTGGAAGCCCGACTCATAACCACTATGCTCCAAAGAATGATAACAGTACAGCTGTCATTTGGAGTCCTGGTGTGGTGCTGTAGGATAAGCACTGGACTGCTGCTAACTGTGAGGTCTGCTGTTCAAACCCTCTAGTTGCTTCTTAGAAACCCTATATAAGGTCACTACGAGTCAGAATCTACTCAACAGCACTTACCAACAAGCTGTCATTGTCTTAATAGAGTGTGCGGTTACGAATTGGGCTGCTAACCTCAGAGTCAGCAGTTTGAAATGACCAGCTGTTCCACGGAAGAATGATGAGGCTTTCTACTCCCATAAAGATATACAGCCTCAGAAACCCTGTACAGGGTTGCTATGAGTCGGAACCAACTCCACGGCACATAACAACAACAATCATTAAGGAGCTCTGGTAGTATAGTGGTTATGAGTCGGGCTGATAAGCTCAAGGTCAGCAATTTGAAACTACCAGCCGTTCCATAGGACAAAGATGAGGCTTTCTGCTCCAATGAAGATTTACAGCCTTGGAAACCCTATGCAGGGTCGCTATGAGTCATATTAGCTATCTGTTACTGTATAACAAACTACCCCTAAATACAGTAGCTTAGAACAACGCACATTTAATATCTTAGTTTGTGTAGGTCTGGAATCTGGACTCCACTTAGCTGGGTCCTGTGCTTTGTTGTTGTTGTTAAGCGTCATGGAGTCGGTTCTGACTCATAGCGACCCTGCACAGGGTTTCTGAGGCTGCAAATCTTTACGGGAGCAGAAAGCCTCACCTTTCTTCCACGGAACAGCTGGTAGTTTTGAACTGCCAACCTTGAGGTTAGCAGCCCAATTCATAACCACTACACTTTAGGTTCTCTCAAAATTTTGCAAAGTGTCAATCAGGACTAGAGTGTCATCTTAAGACTTGACTGGAGGAGGATCTATTTCCCCTCTTATGGTGGTTGGTAGAATTCTGTTCCTTGCTGGTTGTTGGCTAGATGCACGTGGGCTTTTCCAACATAGCAGCTTTATCAAGGACAGAGAGAGAGTGCATTTTTTGTGATCTAATTATTGAAATTCACTATGAGTCGAATGTACTTAACAACAACAACAATTATTGATGTGACACCCTATCATCTTTGCCACAATTTATTTCTTTGAAGCAATTTACTAGGCCAGCCTGCACTCCAGGGGAGGAGATTACACAAGGACATGAATACCAGGAAATGGGAATTTTAACTAGGCCATTTTAGTGTCTGCCTGCCAGCCACAGGAGTCTATAACTTATCAGCACTGAATAAATGGTAGCTATTACTATTATTCTAAATCGAGAGATTTGAAAAAGCTACAGGGAACCAGTGAAGGATTTCTAACAGGGAGCAACTTCAGGTAATCTTGGGCAAGTCATCTAATGTCCTCGACTTCATTTTCTCGGAAGTAAAATGAAATACTTATCCCCAAAAGAAATGAAGAATGTATGTACAATAAATATGTTTTCACTAGAGCAAATATACAATCTGAGGAAGCAAACTGCTTTGGGCCAGTTTCCCATTTTTGTTGATCACAGTCTGCTATCTTTAGGGTTATAATGTTTGGCCCAATGGGCTTATAAAGATTTGTATAAATGGAATAAACACCTACAAAAAGAAGCCTGCCTTTTGATAGTCCCTTAAGACTTTTTAAAGGTTTGCTCTTTCCTTCCTTTTTAAATACCTTTGCTTCCATCGACAAGATCGGAAGATGGGGTTACTGAGAGAAAAAACACACAGGGAAATTTCAAGCCCTTGGTAATAAAATCTCATCCATTTTTTCCAGAGGCTTCGCAGAGGGGTTGTTTGGGACATACGGTATTCCCCTCACCCTCGCACTCGTGCAGCTGATTTCGGGTTTGTGCTGTTTCCGCCGCTGCCGAGAGGCAGCCAGCCACACAGGGCAGTCCCATCGCCAGCCAAGCTGGTGAGAGACTCAGGTTCCTCTCGCCCTGGTGCCTCACCTCACGTTCTCTCCAATTTGTGTGGGTCCCACCCGGTATGCTTCGCCCCAAGTCCCAAGCGAAGTCGACCACAGTGGCGTTTTATGGTCTCCCCTGGTGAGGTTTACCTCGGAGAAGGTAAACAGCGCGGCGGGACCTGAGCTGGTGGACAAGTGGGAGGGGTGGCTCCGGGGCGGCCGGCCTTGGGGAGGGGACGGAATTTAGGAGTCAGCCTCTGGCTCTGCACAAAGGCGCGCTTCTCCGCAGGGCGTGTCCAAGAAAGCGGCCGAGAAAGCTGCGACAATGCTCCTTTGCTTCTCAGTCTGACCAAGAGCAAAGACCAGAAGCCCATACCCTGGCCTTGCCACTCTGGCAGGCACAAACCGCGGTAGCCCCCTCCCCGATCACCTCCAGCAGTGCCGCTGCCCTCCCAGCTCTCTGACCATTGGGTCCCAGAGGCTGGACTCGTCAGACATCTGGGCAACCCCGACGGGAGGGTTAGGGTGACCCCGGAGCTCTCAGGGAGAAGAAGAGGAGGGTGTGGTACACGCGGAGGAGCAGCGCGGGGCAACCCTGGCGGAGGGCTTCCCTCTCGCCAGCTCCGCTGCTCCCGCGACCGCTGCCTTAGAAAACTTAACAAGAACCAGATGTGGCGGCTGCTGTCGAACTTTCTCAGCTGTGACGATTGGTCCCTGATCGAGAATCGCAGCCAATCAGAGCGTTGGGAGGGTCCAGAGTCCCGCCCCGGCGGGACGTCCACAGGGATCCTGGTTCAAGGCTGGCGAAGAGGAGCTAGTGGGCTGGTTGGCCCGGCCCGGAACGTGCTCTGTGGCAGGTCAGCCCACGGGCCAAGCGAGCATGCTGGGGAACCCGATGGCCGAGCGGCCGCCGCTGTTGCAGCAGCAGCTACTGCTACTATTGTTGCTACTGTCTAGGGTCGCGGCGCTGCACCCTGGCGAGCTCTTCCCCTACGGGGAGTCGTGGAGGGATCAGCTCCTGCCGGAAGGCGACGACGAGAGCTCAGCTGCCGTGAAGCTGGCTATTCCCCTGCGCTTCTACGAAGCCCAGTTCAGTGACCTCTACGTAAGTCCAGCCACCTCTTGGTACGGGATTAGATCTATTTCTCACAGCTTCTTTCCAGAGGCCCTCGCAATGTCTCAGTGCCAGACTGTCCCTATTGCCCCGGGGTAGTAGCGAGCTCTGCACCGAGGGTGCTGCCGGACCTGTTGCCGGTCCTTACCTCGAGAGGGGAGTGAGAATTGGGCGCAGCCATGTACGCACGCCTCCCAAGCTGAAAAGAAGCTGGGGTTGCTAGGGTGGCCAGTGGGATTTCCAGTTAGGGAAGACTGCATGCTTCCTGAACTATAGGGCGTTCCCTCCTCGGACACAGGGGTTTTCTCCCAAGGGATACGGAGGTCCTAAAACTTGAGAAGTGTCAAGTTGTAGGATTCCTGAACTTATTTTGAGCCGCTCTCTGAACAGGGGTGAGGGGCCGCGTATCCTGCTGAAGTTGCGATCATCTCCCTAAGCCTGGGGTCGGCCTCTCATCCAACAGTGGAATTCGTGGGTTCGTGCCCGGAGCATTTGGAAGCGTGTCTTCCCTTCACTCCCTGAGGAAGAGCGTGGCCACACACATCTGGACTTGTGGTGACCGTCCTTTGGCTCTCTGCAGCTAAAGCGACCGTCACCTTTTTGTTCTTTCTCCTAGGTGGGCACCAATGGCATCATCTCCACACAGGACTTCCCCAGGGAGACCCAATATGTGGACGATGATTTCCCCACAGACTTCCCGGCCATTGCCCCTTTTCTGGCCGACATTGATACGAGCGGGGGCAGAGGCCGGATCCTGTATCGCGAGGACACTTCCCCAACTGTGCTGGGTCTAGCTGCCCGCTACGTGCGCGCCGGCTTCCCGCGCTCTGCTGAGCGCTTCGCCCCCACCCACGCCTTCCTGGCGACCTGGGAGCAAGTGGGCGCCTATGAGGAGGTCCGGCGAGGGGCGCCGCCTTCGGGGGAGGTAAGTGACCAGCAAAACTCCGTGGGCTATCAAATCAAGGGATTGACATGAATCCTGAATTGTCACTGGAGAAATTTTGCTGAGTCTTTGCTGAGCCTGGGCCAGCCCTAAACCTAATGGCTCATTTGGCACCCAGGGTTAAGCCATCTGGTACTGAGGAAGGCTGCTCTCTCTAAGACTCAGAGATGGCCACTCAACCAGGACAGGTTTCCTGATGGAATGTGAGGGCCAGAGGGCAGCTCAGAAACCCCACGGAACATGTAGTTTATTGCTTGGTGGTTTATTTTTAGAATGTCCTCTGAGTATAGAAGTATTATTTCTAATTGTATGCTCATTGAGGGGAAAAAAATGAAAAAATACAAGGAAAATACAAGTTTTCCTACCACTCAATTAGCAGATGTTGTTGTTGTACTTGATAAAGATGTGTCTTGGAGTCAGTTCTGACTCATAGTGACCTTGTATGGGATTTCCAAGGCTGTAAGTCTTCACTGGAGACGAAAGCCTCATCTTTCTCCCGTGGAGTGGCTGGCTGACTCAAACTGCAGACCTTATGGTTCGCAGTCCAATGCTTTTCGAACGAAGCCACTGCAGAATTAACAGATAACCACTATTAATTAAGCATTCCCACGTGTAGGCTTCCAAAGTTTTTTTTATTTTTATTTCCTAATCATAGCTGTAAGGAGCGCTGGTAGCGTAGTGGTTACGAATCGGGCTGCGAACCGTAAGGTCAGCAGTTCGAAACAACCAGCGGTTCAGCGGGAGAATGATGAGGAGTTCTGCTCTCGTAAAGATTAACAGCCTCGGAAACCCTGTGCAGGGTCGCTATGAGTCAGAACCGACTCCACAGCACACAACAACAACAATAATCATATCTATATCTACCAAATATCTATCAACACTGATGTGCTCTGTCAACGTAACTGCTTTGTAACCTACTTTTTTATCCATTGAATATGTTTCAATGTCAATAAGCATATTTCTACATCATTTTTAATGACTGTGTAATATTCCACCCGGTAGCTTTGCCACAGTTTACTCAGTCAGTGACCCCAGTGGTCATTGAGGTTATTTCCGGTTTTTCATCATTATTATTAATACTATGAAGCTCTTTCCCCCTCCCGCCAATCTTTTCCACATTTCCTTAGTTGACATTCCAGGAAGTAAAATTGGTGGGTCATGGGGAATACGTTTTTAATAAGGTTGTTGCTGGATTTTGCCAGATAGCCCTCCGGGTACTAAATTACATGCCCCTTAGTGTGCTGGAGACCCCTTGATTTGTTTTACAATCTCTACCTGAAGAATGTGAAACAACTCAGGCTCTCAGTCTGGGCTTTGAAGCCATTAGAAGGCCTTTGAAGTTCTCCAAATATACATCAGGTGGGGCAGGGTGGCTTAGCAAATGGTGAACTACCTCGTTCCTGGAGTAAGTAGACGCTTCCTCTTTTGAAATTGGACATGAATCTAAAATGGTCATAGCCCAAGAGTAAAATTTCTGTTGCTATTAAATCATCATTAAGTGTTTAAATTATGTTTCTTAGCACTAGAATGATGGCAAATATTTCTCCTTAAGAGTTTAATGAAGTAACTTGTCCATTGTTAGTGTGTACTTCAACAAGATTGACATTTTTGTTTTATGTTCTGAGCTTATGACTACTTCCTAAAATGGGTACTAAGCAAAGAAGATGCTCAATATAAAAATCACCTGCATTTAATTTTTTTTTATCATTTAACTTTTTTGGCCAGATGACATCAAGTTTTGATTTCAGAATAATTTCTGAATGCATGAGTTTGGCATCTCAATTATTTAATTCAACAGAATAATTTAGTTCTAAAAAATATAACAAGCCCTTCTTTATGAAGGGCACAGGGCTGGGTATACGGTTGGAGAGGATACAAAGATAAGTAAGGCAAAAAACCCACAATAGATTGTCTTCATTCATATTAGTTTACAAATTTTAAAAAACTTATTTGAAAACTAAGTCTAATAAAAAATTTGGAAAACAGAAAATAAATACTGTATAATTTTCTTAGCCAGAGGTTAGTCATTTAATAATTACTTTCTAAAATTGTTAAATGTATTTTATTTTTTTCCTCTTTTTTTTCTAAATATATATGTAGTATATTCAGATATGCATATATAAATAAATAATATATTTAAACAGTTACAAGTTATTCAGCAAACCTTTTTTGTATATTTACTCTATGTTAGGACTGGGATCCTTAAATGCCATTGAGCTGGTTCTGACTCATAGTGACCCTATGCACAACAGAACAAAACACTGCCTGGTACTGCACTGTCCACACAATTGTTACATTTGAGCCCATTGCTGCTGCCACTGTGTCAATCTGCCTTATTGTATGTCTTCCTCTTCTTCACTGACTGTCCACCTCTCCAGTGGCTGGTCCCTCATGATAATATGACCAAAGTATGACTTGCCACCCTGGATTCTAATGAGTGTTTTGGCTGTATTTCTTCCAACACAGATCTGTTTGTTCTTCTGGCAGGCCATGGTACTTTTAATACCCTTCTCCAATTCCATAATTCAATGCATCAGTTCTTCTAAGTCATCCTTATTCATACATGAATAATGTCCAGCTTTCACATACATATAAGGCGATTGAAAATACCATGGTTTGCCTTAGTCCTCAAACTAATACGTTTGCTCTTGAATACTTTGAGGAGGTCCTAGCTAGCAGATTTGCCTAATTCAAGTATATATATGTCCTTTGATTTCTTGACTGCTGCTTTCATGAGTGTTGATTGTGAATCTAAGTAAAATGAAGTTTTGACAACTTCAATCTTTTCTCCCTTTACCATGTTTATTTATTGTGAGGGCTTTCATTTTCTTTATATTGAGGTTCAATCCATACTGAAAGTTATCGTTTTGATCTGGGATAAATACTATGATAGAACATACTCTATGCCCCAAGGATTCATAGTTTAGTAGGGACATTGCTTATATTCAGTGTAGTAAATGTAGTTATCTTTTGACTTATAGGACCCTAACCCTAACTCCTTTCATGTTAAAAGTCTTGATCTGGGAAGATTTCAGTGAAGAAGTAGCTTTGAGTCTTAACTGAGCAGAGGGGAACAGTCCAGACAGAAGAGATAGCATTTGCCATATCCTGCATGTGTTATAAAAGATAATCTGTTTGAGGCATTGTATTTGGTACATTGTTATTGAAGAGTAAATGTGGTAACACGTGTGGGTGGACCAGCCATAGGGTAGGAACACTGTTAGGAGTTTGGACTTTATTTTTTGGCAGTTGGCAACCTTGGAAGGAATTGAAGCAGGGGATTGACATGATTGGATTTATTTTATTTTATTTTAAGAGAGCTCTATTTGACTGTATTTCATTATAATTTTAGGGTTGATGATATAAAAAGACATTAAGGAAAGATTGAGTACTTAGACAATCATTACCTGTGTCTTGTGTATTCAAGCTATTTTATAGTGATATTTTGTGCTATTATCCCATAACAATCCTATAAGATGTGTACAACAAGAAAACCTGTTTGCATTTAATAGATAAAGATAAATAGTTAAAGCAACTTCTCAGAATTCTGGTGTTAGTGATGCAGATGCAGATTTAGAACACAGATTTGTCTTTTTTTTTTTGCTTTATGCAGACTTGTAGGCAAGACGCATTTCCTTGGCAAAGGTAATGTAGATAGACACAATAGTAAAGCCTTTTCCAAAGACTTTCTGTAAATAAGGGTTGGGATTTATTCTCTCAGTGTTATCTCAGTACCAGTAAATAAGAGTTGGGTTTCATTCAAGAACCATATATCATTCAAAGACAGAATGAACTTGGAATGAAATCTGTTTCAAAATGATTTTTGTGCCAATATCACTTCCAAATTAGTATCTTGATGCTCTGAAGGGAAATCAGTTGCATCTGTGTTCACTTTTCAATAGAGAAAAAAGACAAAGCTAAGTCAAGCAACATGTATTTGCAAAATGAGAAACTGTACAGAGGCTCTGAACTCATGAAATCATGCTAGGCCCTCTGTGTAATTTTATCAGGATGTAAAATTTGGCATAAATATTTTATCAGTATTATTTGAAATGGAAAATCATACCACAGGCAAGATGGCTTTGTTAGTTTTCTTTACCTTCGTTGTTATTGTTGCTTTTGTTATGTGCCATTGAGTTGGGTCTGACTCATAATGACCCTGTATAGGTTTTCTGAGAAGCAGCTGGTGAGTTTGAACTGCTAACCTTGCGATCCAGTGCTTATCCTACGGTGCCAGTATCTAATATCAATCTGATTCCCCCTTGTTAGTTAGCATCAAAGAAGCACTGGTAGTCCAGTGGTTAAGGACTTGACTGATAACCAGAAAACACCAGTCACTTCACAAAAGAAAGATGTGGCAGTCTGCTTCCACAAAGATTGCAGTCTTGGAAACCCTATGGGACAGTTCTACTCTGTTTAGAGAGTCGCTGTGAGTTGAAATTGACTTGACAGCAATGGATTTGGTTTTGTGTTTTAATCAGGATCCATTACACCAGCCAATATGGTAACTGCCTTCTTTGTTTTGTTGACCCAGAGTCACAAAGTGACTTGGTGGCATTCTTAACTTCCAGTTCAGTGGAATCAGTATTGTGTTTCAGGTGGGAACATTCCTCTTTTAGCACTAAGACCTCTAGACCTGAAAAGCCTAGGGTCGCAGGGACAGAAGCAAACATTTTGTGAGTTGGTCACTCAGGGTAACAGTGACTGATGCCACTCTCATTTCCACCCCTTGATTCCTATAAATCCTGTCTATGGGAGAAACAGAGCCACATAATAGATGCTGGTTTAGAGTATATACAGCCTTCTAGGGAACACTGTCTCAAACCTGCGGAGTCTTACCACCAAGTTGTTACCATACTAGTGTCTTTAGAGGCCTTTCATCATTCTATAAAGTCAACTGCTTCAGGACTATGGTGTACCTGGTAAGACTAGTAAATTCTGTGAACATGGACCAATTGTTGTTGCAGACTGGGCACCTCAGC